CTCAGGTGTTTGACTCCATTCTGCATCCTGCTGCTTCGTTTTCCAGCTTCTCCTCAGTTTCACAGTCAAATATGAGACTTTTAACTAAAAAGCACTGAGGTACTTTACTGTTTGCTGCGTTGTGGTATCAGTTTGTTTGCAGTTCTTATGTGGTTGTTGACTTTAAAGTGTCTTTTTGTTTGCACTGTGGCTTCAGCCAATCAGCATCTGCCTGGAAAACCTCCCCTGACAAGTTCATGACACTGATTTTGATTTAATCAGGGTTTGTTATTATGCATGTACCTGTTGCATATTGATAGCGTTGTCTTTGTGTGTGTCTTTGATGTTTTCAGTGGCATCCTCTCAGCTTTAGGAAATCTCCTGTCTCAGGTTTTGGAGGCGAGGAAAAAGGCCAAAAATGGAGCCGTGGTCAGTGAGATCGACACAACTGGAGCTGCACGCTATGCCATTTATGGGTGAGACTTTATACCGAATCAAAATGGACGGTTGACGTGCTTATTTCATGGTTAATCTACAACAACAAAAAATATAGAACATTGTGTTCCCTGTTAAAATCTGTGCATCTTATAATTACACTCCCCTCTCACATGCATGTATTGTCTATATTGGTAGTTATTGTGCTTTGTTGTGTGTTGCAGGTTGTTTATTACAGGACCGGTGAGCCACTACTTTTACCAGCTGATGGAAGTGTGGATGCCCACCACAGACCCGTACTGTATAATCAAACGTCTGCTACTGGATCGGCTTTTTTTTGCCCCCGGCTTTCTGCTCCTGTTCTACTTTGTTATGACCCTCCTGGAGGTGAGTCGCCTCAGAAACGCTCCCTCCTGATCTCCTCATTATGCCATTTGATACATTGCAGTGGCATTAAGTTAGAAAAGAGCAGTGTAAAATAGTTACATAACCAATTACTGCATATAAAAGTAATTAGTTGTTAGGTAAAGTAACTTTTTTAATGCTTCAGTTCTCTTATTAATGCCCACAGCTGTCAGATATATTATTTTAATGTTGCTGTGGGACAAATTGATCTAGTTATTAATCCTCCCGACCACCAGAGAGCAGCAACGAGTAGCGTTCCTACCTGTAAGATGACAAGATCAGCATTAACATTATGTGTGTCAGCATTAACTGAGCTTTTATTCAGTAGTTAATAATTAATTATGTGATGACTGGACTTTGGTCGAGTGACATTAGATTTTAAATCATAAAATCATCAACATAGTTCTCCATTTTTAAAGTATGACAAACATAACAAGTAACAAACCCGTTTAAATCATAAATTGTAATTATGTTATTTAATTAAAAAACATAATTCATTACATTACTAGCTACCGCCAAAAGTAGTGCAATTACAGTAACACTAGAGTAATAGAGTTAGAGTATTATAATAACTTTATTATGCATCTTATAAAGTAATGTGTATAAAGGAATGAAAGGTTTCCAACCTGGGGGTCAGGGGCCCTCGAAGGGGTCGCCAAAGTTTGATTTGAGGTGGTTGTAAGAAAACCATTTCAATTTTAAAGTTTCTGATTATTATTTGAGATGTAAACTTTGAAGACAACTTCGTCCTGCATTAGAAAAGTACGCAGTTAAAACAACAAAGAGCTAATAGAACAACAAGGCAAAAGTCAGGGAGAAGGAAACACTGAATTTGTTCAAAAAGAAACGTATTAAGACAGAGAATTGTATATAAACTAATCTCTGATGCTCACTGGAAATAATCTGCTCAAAATTCATAGTTTTACACCAACATCCTGCAGTTGTTGCGTTCTCTATTTGTGTTAATTGAACAGTTTATATCAGTTGTTCTGTACTGTTAGTGCCACTAGTGCAACGCTTCAACCTGGATATTTATTATAGTAATAAATCCACTGTCTTCATGTATTGTATGCAATATTAAACACGTCATAGTGTGTTTCTATAGAAAGAAAAAGAGCAAAGGAAAGGGGAACATGTGGTAATTCCGATCTATTTACAGGGAAAAGGGTGGGGAGATTTTGAAAAGAAGATGAGAGGAAGTTACTGGACTGCTTTAAAGATGAATTG